TATATATATATATATATACATATATATTATAATGTTTTGATAAAAGAATATGCAAGCATTTATTAATATGTTGGTAGTTTCAAATTTAAATTAAAATTATTGAAGGGCAAAACGAATTTGCTTTTGTGGTGCGGCCGCTTACAGGAGGTTTAACCTTCGATTCCTGCGGAACATCAGACTCCGATCTCATTTGTCCTTTTCCTACTCCTTCCGTCTGCAATCTACCTATATAAATCCCCACATTGTTCTGCCTTCTGTATCTTACCCATTTTAAAACACTTCTCCGTCTGATAAAATGAAGGGGAAGATAGCAGATGAAGTCCTGCGACCTCCCACCTCCCAAACAAAAGCCCAGAAGCGACCCGCGAGAGCCAAACCCATCGCCGCCGCTACCAGTGCAAAGAAGCTTTGCAAAGAGCCAAACAATGCAATGCCGACAGCATCACCACTACCTCCCCCACAACAACCAAATCTCGCCGGGCCCCCCTTCTCCCCTTTGCCGGAGGAGATCAGCCTCATCTTTGATGGTGCTTTGGAGCTCGACGGATGGTCTTGGGGCGCAGTTGACGAGGAGAAGCTTTTGGGTTGGTTCCCCTTTGTAGAAGAAGACTTCTCGAGTTTTTGCTCGGAGAGTCGAGGATCTTCAGGCTTCTTCTGGGAGGATTACCATGATATATGGCATCTCAAGCACATCCATGAGATCCCCAATTCGGCAAATAGATGAAGTAATCCCGATTGAATGATACATTTCGGTGGAGAATTTGGGAGAAGCAGGGAGTAGAAATGGTGGGTTAGTGTTTTGTCGGCAATTAATTTTTTTTTTAATCTTTATAAAGAGTAGTTTGTATTTCTTCATGGAAAGAATCGAATTTAGCAATGTGATTCTTCTTGAAGTGGAAATTTCTGTTGTATGAATATTTGCAATTCGGGAATCGAAAATTTTCATGGATTATGTTGATTTCTTGTTGTTGTTATGTCTCCAATTTGGTAAAGATTTTCCTTTTTGCTCCTGTTTGATTTTAGAGAAACAGCGATTTGTTTTTATTTTTCTTCAGAACTGTGTTTGGTGTGATAAATTTCCTTAAATCAAGTTTTGTTTTACTTAGAAATTACAATTTTTATCACAAAATTTTAATGTATTTAAACTTTCAATATTTACATTTAGTTAATTATTTTCATAATATCTAAAATTATTACATCATTTTAATGTCTTACTTATAATTTTTTTAAAATGAAATATATTTGTGATTTGTTCACTAAGTTCTTTTGTTATTATTCTTATTTCATAAGAATTGAGTGGTAAAAAGAAATTTTCACATATATGATACTTAATTCTTATAAAAATTGGGCCACAACATTATAGTCATGCATAAAAAATATGTTTGCATGAATTTCAAGAAAATTTAACGGGTCTCACTAATGAACACTAAATGACAGTTTATCAGGATAGTCAAAAAGACTAAAATGCCAAGAGTCATTTCTTTTGGTCGGAACTCTGAGCTAAATGAATGAAAGCAGTGCCGAATGAAATAATATAAGGCACCTAATATGATGCATAATCGTTCGTAACCAGCTCCATTAGTCGATTCTTGAATCACAAAGATAGCGAAAGGGTACTCTGTAGAACATCTTTCTGATTTAGTGAGAAGGCCTTCTAATTAAGGTGAGTTGCTAGTCAAATTACAGTGATACATCTTCTGTTTGACCGTCTATGTTCACCGTAACGATTAGAGAAGTTATGTCAGCCAATCGAAGACTTTTTGCCGATCGAATGAAAAAATTAATAAGTTATCAAACCCTCATTTTCAAACAATTATGAATATGAAATAGTGTCAATGCGAGTTATCAATATAAAGGGCCCCGGAGTCGGTTAGAAATATGAGAAGATATTATAATGACTAATGTCACTATTAAAATTGAGATAAACATATAATATTACTAAATACCTCTCAATCATATGAATAAAGGTCATTTCTAAAAAAAACAAAAAGTTACTGCAGAATTTACTTTCAAAACTTATGTTATTATGCTCTTATTCTCTCTCTTTATTTCTTTCATCCTTTCAATATTATACCTTGGTGTGATTCATAAAGCATATTTGGATTCAAAAATTACTAAAAATAAGTTAATACAATATTAATATTTTCTAAGATTTTTAATAAGAGAAATTTTTCTATAAATAATCAATTGTTTTCTATATTTTATCTATTTTAGTATCTATATAACATTTAAATTCAATTAAATTAAACAATCAAATTATGGAAGAATTTGTGATTCAGTGTTTAAGACAGAGTGGTTTTTCCCTCTGATTCAACTTTAAAAAAAAAGATTCAAGTTAAGCACGTTGTAATTAATTGCTTACATGAATATTAAAATTATTTGAAATTATATTTATGTATTTTAACAATCATTCTTAATAATAAATATTCGTATTCAATCAAATTTGTAGATATTTATAAATTTATGAATGATATTCCTATGATATTTCAATGACAAAATTATGCAGTTCAAATTTACTTATAAATTAAAAGAAAAAAATTATTTAACATAATTACGTTTTTAAAAAAATTTATTAAACATTATTATATTATTTTAGAAAATTAATTTACATTTATATCTAAATATTGTAGTGGAGATTTTCTTTAATTTTGAATAAACAGTTTTTCAAATAAATTATTCTTTTGTAATTTTTGTTTTATTATATATAAAAATCAACGTTAGTTTAAATATTGGGTGATAATGATATCGCCGGTAATCAGCCGAATCACTCAATTTACTCTCTCTCCTCACCATCCAGGTTATATTTTAAAAATGCGCTTTGACATTCAGGTTTCGCCTGGTCATGTCGGTACGATCACAGCTGGTCCCAGCGTGGGTAAACTAATCCAGCAAGCTGTCATCTTTCGGACAGGGATTTGAGGCTGTCGGCCAAAGCAATTGTTTAGATTTCTAATAATTTTTCAATTTATAAATTTAATTTTCAACATTGTACAAAAGAATTTTATTTTTATAAAAATTTATTAGATATTACAATATTATTTTTGCATTTGACCTCAGTGCTAGTAGTTGGACTACTATGACAACATAAGAAGAGTGGATTTGGATTTAAGAAAATATGATTAATTAAAATATTTAATTTTATTTTAGTACAAAGTTTTTAGAATATGAACTAGCAAAAGATTCTACAAATTTTCGAGTAAGATGAATAGCAGCATATAGGTACAAGTATAAAATATTTCGGACATATTATTTTTACCTGATTCAGTAAACCTAGCCAACGTCCATCCTTGCCCAAAGATGGGCTTGACATCCACTAAATTCTACGTTTGCTAAAAAACCCAACCTCTTCAAATTTATGAAGTTATTTACATCCTATGTACTCTCCCGTAAAGATGAATACAACCTATTGAGAACACAAAAAATTTAAGTGCGTTAAATGACAAAACATTCAGGATTACATATGTTATGCATGCTAAATTATCTTTACAATAAAATGACCCAACAGAAATTTTGAGATGAATTTACAAGATATTTTTAATTGCCTCATAATTTGCAAATAGAATGTATGTCTTACCAACTATGTAAGACATTAATATCTTAATTTATGTAAATAAATATTATTATGTATTTATGTTAAGAGTTTAACCCACTATAAGATATTTCATACTATCTATTAGGTATAGAAAGTAAATATGTAGTTGTTGCAAGCAAAAAAAAATTCATTGGCATGGGATATATTAATGTCTTCACATTGTTTGAAAATATAACGATCACAAAAAAAAAAAAAAAAAATACAATAAATGATAGTGGGGACATGAGGAATTCTTACGTGAAAAACTCAAAAGGACAGATATTATATGGCTTAGGTTGGTTGAAATGGTTCAACTATTTAAATGTATGGTAAATGCCCTTAGCTTGTTTGAGAAAACTAATGATAGTTTCAATCCTTGAGGATTTTGTAGCTCCACCATCATTTGGCCATGAGACCAGACAACCGACAACATTGCTGCGCCATTGCCACAATTGCTAGATCATTGTTGCCTAGCAGCATCCCTTATCAAACCACATTCGTCGCTGATCCACTATCATCACTAGACCATAAAATTCATTGTCATATCACTATCACCATCACCAAATCACCGAGCTTGGTCGCCCCTGCTACTAGATTATATTTGCTCAGTTGACAATACTGTCAGACCACCATCACTACCACCACGGCCATCGTTGAACCATCATCACTTGATCATTTTCATTATTTTTATCAATTGATCAATACTTGGTCGTTACCACTACAAAGGATGTAAACTTTATATTGCCATAACACAGCCTCGACCATCAATCTTCTTTCATCGTGCCAAGTTGCTACGACTTCCCCAAACTTTTTCCATAACTTCCTAGTGAAAGTTATGATGTTAACTTTCAATTTAAAATATTTTTTTCTACTGTATAAGGGTAGTTAAGGACTTGAAACTCTTACCGGAATAGTGGAGTTATTTTCCTCTATTAGTTGTTCTCTTATTTGTATATATGTTTTAGATTTTAAAATAATACTAGGACACTTGTATATCCTCTGGGAAATGAGTTTTTTTTCCATTTAATAATATTAAATAAAAATAAATTGGTCGCTAACTTTATATATGAAAGACTTTAACGTTATAAGATTTAATCAAAGATGCTCTAATAATATTTTTTTCAAAAATTCAGATTTCAAAGAAATATAAAAGATGAAATGTATAAGACCAACAAGTAAAGATTCAAAGGGAAGAAAATAAACACAAAGACTACAAGAGATTTTGCTTTATTGAGTACATAGAGTCATAATAAATGCGATCTTGGAAATATTTGTAGCATTTGGAATGAAAATCTAAACTTCTCTCCATAAAATTTTGTTTAGAAAGAAAGAAAAAAGAATAAAGTAAATTTTGAGCAAATAAAAGCCACCCTAACATTAATAAAATGAGGCTATTTTTAATCAATTTATTTTTAAGTAATTTTACAAAAATATTTTATCAACTAATGATACAAATTTTAATAAAAATATAATTTAATTAATTGATAATTAGATTCAATTTATTAGCTAATAAATAGTTAAATAATGCAAGTTAAATAAAATTTAAATTGCTTATATTAAATGGGCAATCGATTGCCAGCTTAGTAAAAAAATGGATTATTTAAGAAATCAGAGTAAATTCAATTTTAATAAAAAAGCAGGTCATACAACGTATCATATCATATTTATAAATTCTCGCCAATCCAATTGCATAAATAAAAATTTCAAATGTTGCATATGTAGTGAGCTATGTGAAAAAATATTAAATTAATTATATTTAGAGTAAATTTTTAAATATATCACCTAACAGTCAAATAATATAAACTAATTTATATAAAAATTTCTAAAAAATATATCATAAAAAAAATCTAATTATGCAATAAAAAGACTTACTAAATTTAACATAATAATTCAAAAATCATTATATTATGTTGCTAAATAGATAATACACATTAGGTAATTTAAAAAAAAACTAATATTTATTTAAAACTAACTAATATCTAACTTTTTCTTATTATTTCTAATAAATGTTATAGAATGTGAGCAAAACAAAACTTGTTATTAAATTCCTATGCATTGATCAAATTATTATTACTAAAGCTTCATTTCTCAATATGAACATTTCTTATATGCTCAAATCATGATCAAAATTGAGGTAGTTTGTAAAAGTAACCCTCTTCGAAGTCTATAGAACATGCACCGTAAATATTATATTTCTATATCTATATCTATATATCTATTAGAACATCTAAGTATATATTTGTTATCATTAAAATTTATATGATAGATCTTATGGTATATAAAGCCAACAATCTCCCCTTTTCTTATGATGAATATGTTCTTTTGGGTGTAGTTTGGATGAGAGTATATAATGG